ACTATCGTTTTCAGTTTTTGGGACACCGCGGAACACCACGGAACATTTCGGGGCACCACATCGATCTCAGTATCGATTTGACTATCGATATCACGACCGATCTCATTCAACGGGACACCTCGGGACACCGCGGGACACCGGGGGGATAATCAGTCGTTTGTATTTCGCCCCAGCAGCGGCGGGCTCATTCCTCTCAAGCGCCCACGCAGCTTCGCCCAGCCCGCACGCACGACACGAACGAAACGAAACGATTTCCCGTATGGGGGTCTCCGTTCCACTGCGATCTCACCCCCCAACCTCCGATTCTGAGAGCCCCTGGCCCGAGAGGCCCTCGAATTCAGGTCTGCTCTCGCTCGAGACTTCTCCGCATTTCAGTCGGTGGCCGACAAGGAAGACATTCCCCTCGAAAGGGGGTGCAATCGAAGACGAAGTGGGCGGGTATCGACGGTTGGGGTATACGGAATGCAAGACAAGCGTGCCAGTAAGAGCGAGCAGTCTTAAAATGATTATTGTCGTTGTTGAACTCTCACTTCTGAAGCCTAATTATTGTTGATCCCCCCTCACCGGTGCATGTTGTTTTTCTCAATCAGAGTGTGCCCCTCGACGCTCGCACCCTTTTTTGACAGGGAAAGTCTTGATGCTCAAACTGCGCCCCTGGCCCCCGGGTTACACCAACAACGGCTCCCGCCTGAGACTTCCTCACAATTTAGCCAGGACCCCCGCCCCCGCCCGAGAATTCTTCGCATTTTATTCATGAATCGCGCTCTCGCTTGGGGCTTCCATTCAATTTATTCAAGAATCGCTCTCCCGGCGCTCTGGAGTCGCGCTTTCGCTAGAGATTTGCTTGCAATTTACTGCAGAATAGCGCCCTTGCGTTGGAATTTCTTACAATTTGCTCAAGCGCCGCGCTCCCGACACCCAGGCACCCAGGAGTCGCGCCCGTTGTGGCCCCATGTGCATGCCTTTCGTGGCCCCGCTGTCGCCGTTGGTGGCTCCCTCACTGTCCTACGTGGCCCAGTTGATACCCTCAATGGCCCCATCGTTGAATTCTGTGGCCCCGCATTATCTGCCTTTCGTGGCCCCCGCTCGTTCGCGTTCTTCGTGGCCCCATACGCATTCCCTTCGTGTCCCCGCTGTCGCCCTTCGTGGCCTACTTCGTGTCCTTCGTGGCCCTGCTGTCATTCTCTCTCGCTCTCGCTTTCGCTCGTCGTCGCCGTCGACGTCGACGTCGTCGTCGTCGTGGTCCGTCCACTGTCCGTCCCTCTTGGGGTCGGGTCGACGGTCCGCGGCCGCCCCGCCGATCAGCGCTGCCGCTGGCCAGGCCGACCGTCCGCGGCCGCCCCGCCGCTTGCCGGGGCCCGGCCTGCAGGGAAGCAAGGTATACCCCCCAAAAGGGGTTCGATCGAAGACGAAGAGGTCAGGTATCGAGGGTTTGGGAAATACGTGTTATTGGACACTCGAGCAGATAAGGGCGAACAGTCTTAAAATGATTGTTGTTGTTGGTGATGTTGTTGGTGTTGTTGTTTGTTGTCGTCCCCCCGCCCTCGACCCACCCGCGACCCGCCCCGCGACTCACCCCGCGACCCACCCCGCGACCCACCCCGCGACCCACCCCGCGACCCACCCCGCGACCCACCCGCGACCCAACCCGCGACCCACCCGCGACCCAACAGTGACCCATCCGCGACCCACCCGCGACTTACCCACATTGGTGAAACGAAAAAATCGGCGCCTGCGGCGGGCTCGTTGTATAATTTGTGAAACTTTGGCACCTGCGGTGGGCTTTTCCGAAGTCTGGCAAATTGCCGACGTCCCCGCCGTCCCCATCACTCTTATCCGCATCTGCGGGGTGCTACGTATATGTGCATGGCGCAAGAGACGCGCACTTGCAACCTCGCTCTTTCATTGTGGGTTCAGCCTTGTCCGAGCACGCTTGCAATGGAGAAGCCCGAGCTCGCGCGCCCGAGTGGGAGTCGCCAGCATTTGCGACCACAGCAATATTTCAGATCCCCAAAGAAAGCCAAAGCGCATGGCGAACATTCCAATGACAGCGCCGCCCAGCCAGAGCAAGCACAAGTATTGCTTAGAACAGGTGGGGTGTACGGAACAGCTTCTACGATAGGTTCAGATTTGGCTGCATATGGTGAGATGCATAATATACATACGTGGCCCGCGCAGCTCGCGCGCGCAGATCAGAACGGCATGCGGCGCAATAGCTCTGGCGCCCACGCGACCGCTCTCTCGTTTTCTCCCTCTGTCTGCCCAGCACACAAGAAGTTCAAGTTCAAAGCCTTTAGAACATTGGTTTGATCAACCGTAGCGCCAGGAAACAACACATGCAATTCCCGCGAAAGGAAATTCATTGCAAAACCAACAAGGATTGCTTGTGCAACCCATGCAGAAGGAATTAATGTGTGCATCACCCACATATGGAATTAGTTTGTGCAGCCCCATCGAAGGGTTTTATCATCTGCAATCCGCGCAAACATGATGAAATTGCAAATCGTCCAATATAGGCACCGTCTTGTACAGCCTTGAAATAGGATTTCGATTGCAATTTGCAAATTCGAATCAATGTGGAAACCGCCTACAAAAATGGCTTCCGCTGCAAAGGAGCCGGAAGAAGTTTGGGAGGACCAAAACACACGATGTGTTGGTAGTTTTCTTCCTTCTCTTGTTCTCCGCCCCACCCCGAAAAAAAACATATAGGGAAACCAAGACACATCGCTGTTTTTATTGTGTTCCCCACCCCCTTTTGGCATCATCCAAGTTTTTTCCGGCTCCCCTTCATAGTAAAGCCCTTTGCGAGCGAATTGCTAATGGATTCTGGTGATGTGGACTACAAATGAAATATTTGTGCGCGGTTGTACGACGGATATATTGCGCGGGGGATTCACATGTTGATTCCCATTGTGTGGCTTACACACATCTTGCTTTCTGGCTCTGCAGTATGATTCCTCCTTGTGGTGGGTTGACACATGTTTTTATATGTGCGCAGAACAATAAAACCGTGCTGTGCGGTTTTGTAATCTAATTCCTTGTGTGGACGATCTACGAAGTGAGTCTTACTGTGCGGATTACGCATGAAAACATTGCGCGGGGCTGTCCAGTCGGATTTCTTGCGCGGGGGATTTACATGTTGATTCCGATCGTGTGCGTTACAAGGCGAGTTCTGTCGTGCAGATTGTCAATAGAATTTCGTTGGCGATGTTCAAATGCTTTCTATGACAAAGAATTCGCAAATCAATGTCAAGTGCGCGGGCTTTCGATGCAATTTGCAGAACCACACGCCACGCAAAACACCACCAAACAACAAAGCAAATCAAGCGAACAAAAAAACATCCTGAAACCGAGTCGATTTTTTCAGGCCCTCCTGGAGGATTCCTTGGAGCCCTCTTGGGCCCCATCGGGGGTCTCTTTGGAGGCCCGTCGGGGACCTCTTCGGGCCTTCCTGGGGTGGCTTCTTGGAGTTCCCTTAGGCTCCGTCTTGGGGTCATCCTGGGCTGTCTTGGGGCCATATTAGAAGTATGTTGAGCTGTCTTGGAGCCATATGCGTGGCAACTTGACCGGTGTGGATGCATCTTTGGGGCCATATTGGGAACGTCTTGGGCCGCTTTGGGCCTATGTTGGAGGCCCCTGGGGCCGTCTTCGGTTGTCGGAAGCCCGAAATGGCGAGAACGCGAAACTCTTTGCACACCAGAGGGGGAATATGATGGCTGGCTCTTCGGGCCTCTTGGAGGTTTTTTGGCTCGTCCTGGGACAGTTCTGCACTCATCTTAGGCCCTCTGGGCCATCTTGTGGTCATCTCTTGGGCCATCGTGGATTCATCTGGGGGTTTGAGGGTCTATTCTGCCATGTTGGCCGACTTCGAGGCGCACTGCTTGCTACCCTGAGCGGGAACGCTTACGGAGGCCGGTTTTTCCGCGCGGCCAGCGGGTTGAATCAAACACCTTTTTGCAAGCAAAGGGGGCGGCGGATCCAGCGGCTTTCGGCCCATTCAATGGGTTGTGGGTCAAGGCCGTCTTGAATACTTGTTCGAAGTTTCTTGAGATGCCTCTTCAGGGGCCTCTCGGAAACCTCTTTCGGTGCCTCTTCGGGGCATCTCCTCTTGGGAGTTTTGGGGGGCGTCCTGGGGGCCTCCGGGGCCCATCGGCGGCCTGTTGAAGTCATTTGGGGGTCTTTGGGGGGTAGGGCAGGGGAATCCTGAGGGGAAAGGTTCTGAAGGGCACTTCGAGGTACTACCTGGTGGACCCTTTTGGGGGCCGCCTTGGGCCGTCTCGGAGCTCCCTTGGTCAAGCAGTGGCGAAACGTTGCAGCTCGCCTATAGGCCTACCAAAAACAATGTTCTGAGAACCTTCTGTGGTTCCCACGGAATGTTCTCAGAACATTCCTGGCGGGGACCGTCTTGTTCTGACCCATCGGGCTTCTGTTCTAAGAACAGCGTTTTCTGTTCTCAGAACACTCTTGGGTTCTAAGAACATGTCGTGGTAGGCCTATGGGAGTGCCGGGACGGTCGGTCCCTGTGCAGCTTGGGCCGCCCTGGGGCCCTCATGGCTCGTCGGGCTTCCAGGGGCGACCTTGCGGGCCCCCTGGATCGTCTCGGGGAGGGGCCCTCAAGCTCGACAGCGTGAGTACCCCCAAATCGTTTAGAGAAAATGAAGCATGAATGATTTGGCATCGTGGGGCCCTGCTGGGGGGTCCTGTTGGGGCCCTCTAGGGGCGTCATGGGGGGCCTCCTGGGACGCATTGGGTCCATCTTGGGGCCGTCGTGCGGCCCTCTGGGACCACTTTTGGGGGCCTCTGTGGACCCTCGTGGGCCGTCTTGGCGGTTCCTAGCTGTTGGAAACGCCGCGCGGAGGAGCAGTCACGGGAGATCCGGTAATCGGGGCCACGGGCCCCTTCGCAGCGCAGTGCAATCTTTCATGCAGGAAACGTTGGGGGACCTGAGGATACTCCACTCCCACTCAGTGCCTACGGCACGGTGGCGGATTTCTTCTCAGCGACGCACAAGGCATGCACCGACCACTCTTATGGAATGGGCCAGGCGATCGATGATGGCGTGTTGTGCGATTACGACTTGGTTGTGCCAGTAGTGGGTGATGGGGAGACGACGCTCGCTGCTCTTGCGGGCCTGCTCCTTGCGAAGGTGGGACACTTCCGGCGCGTCCTTGCATATTGCAATTCGATAGACGAGGCGCTTCTCTTCAAGAGCGAGGTGGTGAAGTTTGGACTGGTTGCCTGGCACATTAACGGCGAGACTCCACGCGCGGAGCGCCAGCGAGTGTTGAAAGCATTCTCGGGCCCCCTTCAGGGCCCTGCCCACGTGCTCGTGACGGTGCAGGTTCTCGGCGAGGGGATTAACATCAAGAACGCCGACACGTGCTTGTTCGTGCAGCCCCGGCGCAGCTACGTCAGCATTGTGCAAGCCATGGGCCGAGTCCTCAGACCACACCCCAGCAAGCCGCTGGCGCATGTTATCCTCCCAGCAGTAACGCCCCACTACAGTGGCCAGGACCAGCCGCTCGGCACCCAGGACGCGCACGAGGAAGCCCATGGTGACCCCACAGAAGCAGAGGCCGAGGCGCTCGGCAACCCTCCGTCTGTGGGCACCGCTGTGTCCAAGTCGACGCCTTCAGTCACCAGCTCTATTCGCCGTGCCGCGAGCACCAGGCACTCGGCGCTGTCCAGCGCGCCTCTACTGCCGCCATACTTGACAGGTGAGAGGCGGCTTCGTGCGGAGCCAGGCAGCGTGGAAAAGGCGCGTGACAGCCTGCAGGCCAAGAGTGATGCGCGAGATGTTCTGGTGTCGCGATCACAACGTGCATGTTCACAGCAAAAGGCCAGCAGTGAATTGGAACGCTTCGTGGCCACCCTGGCGTCAGCAGATTGTCGTTTCAGATCAGAGTTGACGCTCGGGTGTAGCAGTCGCATTTCTTTGGTTGAAACCCGAACCTGCGAAGATCATCAGAGCAATGGGATTCAATATTTGGAGCACCGTGTACGAAATTCATTGCTAGCGTTGTCGAGATTGGGCCGCCAGTGGCAGTCCAGATTGCAGCAGTTGGGGGTGTTCTTGGAGGCGCACGGCAGGTTGCCGACAAGGGGCAAGGTCGCCGACGAGGAAGAGTTGAGGCTAGCCAAGTGGCTCGACAATCAAGCCACATTCGTCAGATCCCAGCGCCTGGCAGAGGAACGCGAGACGGCACTGAGGGGCGTCCACACCTTGGTCAGCGAGAGGTTGACGGGGGAGCGGCTGCTGCAGGACTGGCAGTCCTGGTTGCAGCAGTTGGGCGTGTTCCTGGAGGCGCACGGCAGGTTGCCGACAGAGCGCACGGTCGCCGACGAGGAAGAGTTGAGGCTAGCCAAGTGGCTCAACAAGCAAGCCACACTTGTCAGATCCCAGCGCCTGGCAGAGGACCGCGAGGCAGCCCTGAGGGGCGCCCACACCTTAGTCAGCGAGAGGTTGACGGGGGAGCGGCTGCGGCAGGACTGGCAGTCCTGGCTGCAGCAGTTGGGCGTGTTCCTGGATACGCACGGCAGGTTGCCAACAGAGCGCACGGTCGCCGACGAGGAAGAGCGCAGGCTAGCCAATTGGCTCAAACGTCAAGCCACACTCGTCAGATCCCAGCGCCTGGCAGAGGACCGCGAGGCAGCCCTGAGGGGCGTCCACACCTTGGTCAGCGAGAAGTTGACGGGGGAGCGGCTGCAGCGGGACTGGCAGTCCTGGCTGCAGCAGTTGGAGGAGTTCCTGGAGGCGCACGGCAGGTTGCCGACAAGGGGCAAGGTCGCCGACGAGGAAGAGCGCAGGCTAGCCAAGTGGCTCGACAATCAAGCCACATTCGTCAGATCCCAGCGCCTGGCAGAGGACCGCGAGGCAGCCCTGAGGGGCGCCCACACCTTAGTCAGCGAGAGGTTGACGGGGGAGCGGCTGCGGCAGGACTGGCAGTCCTGGCTGCAGCAGTTGGGCGTGTTCCTGGATACGCACGGCAGGTTGCCAACAGAGCGCACGGTCGCCGACGAGGAAGAGCGCAGGCTAGCCAATTGGCTCAAACGTCAAGCCACACTCGTCAGATCCCAGCGCCTGGCAGAGGACCGCGAGGCAGCCCTGAGGGGCGTCCACACCTTGGTCTGCGAGAAGTTGTCGGGAGCGCGGCGGTACTGAAAAGTTGTCGCGAGCGCGGGGCAGGCCGCGATGACCACGTCTCTCTGGAGGTCCACGGCCAGACCTGTCCTGATGCGGGCTGGCCAGCGAGCCGACGCGGTTCCAGCCGTGGCCACGAGGAGTCCCACAGGAGGCCCAGGAAATCGAACGTCGAATCGAAACATCGATCTTCGATCCTCCCTCCCCTACTTCCGTGCCACCCCTCCTTCCCTCGCCCTCCTCCCCCGTCCCGCCCTTACTCCCGCGCCCTCCGCCATGCCAGCCCTCCTCTCGTCCCCTCCCTCCCTCCTCCTCTCTTGCCCCTCCCTCCTCCCATATATCCGTATTTATCCCTCCCATATCCCCATCCCCATCCCGCTCCCTTCCGCCCCGCTCTCGCGAGCAGAGCCTGGAGGCGAAGGCCTGGCATGCCGCCCCTCGCTCCCTCGACCGCCCCCCCTCCCTCCTCCCAGGACCCCCGTTTTTGTTCCGTTCGACGCTCGAGGAGTTGGTTTTAAGCCGAGCTTGTCCCTCTACAGGAGGAATAGTTTTTTTTGTTAAAAAAGAAGAAGATAAAATAGTAATAAAACAGAAAAATAAAATAATAGTCAGGGGACAATGGTTCGGTTATGTTTTCCACTTTTGGAGTATGTTTTGACCATTCTTGATTTTTCGTCCAAAATCCCCCTGTAGGGGGACACGCCCGACCGAAAGTTGGTTGTCTGCAGTCGGGCCGACATCTGCAAGATCGAGGTCGGCTCGGGGAGGGTGCCCTGGAATGTTCTCCGTGCTTGTTGGGTGGTCTTGTGCATGCTGGAGGGAGGGTGCCCTCGAATGTTCGTCAGTTTGGCCGGCGGAAGGTCTCCTGTTCTTGAGGGGTGTTCTTTTGGCCTAGGTCCGGCTGTAATGTTCAACGGCCGTGATTCGAGAGTGTGGCGTTTTGCTTGTTGCAGGCGTGCGCTTTAATTCCAGGAACGCATGAGCTGTCGGAATCATTTAGTGTATATTTGCTTCTGGGATCGGATTTGTGTTGGCCCTCTTGAGGGCCTCTGGAGACCTCAGGAAGCCTCCGCCGCCTTTCTGTCGTGTCTGTCCGGGGTCCGCGCCGGAGGACGAGGATCAGGCTTCGAGAGTCGACCATCGAGTCTTTGGGGGAGTACTCGGTTCCGTGGAGGCCTCTGGGGACCTCAAGGGATTTCTGATGACCTCAATATTCTGCAGGAGACCCCCATAAGTGTCCACCTTTTTCTGGTCGTTGTCATTTTCGACTTTTGGGGTGCCCGGACCAGGCCTACCCCAGATAATTCGGGTGCCCAAGTTGGGGGGATGGGGGGGGGGCGGGAATAGGCTCAGGGGGGAGGCATTGATTCGGGAGGGCTCCCGACGTTGTCCGAGGTAGTTGCTCGGTGCCCGTGGTGGCTATCATCAGCCGCGCCTCGTCGAGTCGAGAGCGTTCCGGGGGTGCCAGAGCCGTTCCTATACAGTCGGGGCCCTGAAGAAGGAACCCTTTTCGTTGGGGAGGGGCTCCGTGTTCCTTGATTGTTTCACAGCTTGCCTCAGGTTTCCCTTCGGTTTTCGATAGGAAATCGTAATGAAACTTCTGGAAAAAAGGGGCCTCGTTCCTTATTTAGCGTTCCTTAGGTCAACGCCTCGACTGTAACCGCCGGCGGAGGCCCGAGCTCCGGCCGGGAAGCCGCAAGCGCGGGGGGGGGGGGCTCCCCCCAGGGGCAACGTCGGGATGGGGGGGGGGATCGGCTCAGGGTGGAACGGGGCAGCGTTCGGGTATATAGCTGGGACCCCAGGTAAGGGGGCCCGTTAGTAGTTAGTAGGGCCCTGGGGCCCCTCAGTTGGCCAGAATCGCTAAGAGCCAGGTCTGCCGCAGCTGGTGTTTTGTCGGGTGGCGGCAGCTCCGGTTGGTGGGACGCGCGGGGGGGGGGCGTCCCCCAGCACACATCACTCAACCAGGTCCCACGAGATCCAGTTCTGCCCACGCCCGAAACGTGAAAGGGGGGGGGGGGGGAGGCGGTTCGAAGTGCAAGGTTTTTTCCTGCGCTCTCGTCCGCTTGCGGCGGTCTCCCAGCCCAGGGGTGCCTTTCAGCAGCCGCGCACTCCCCGCGCTTCCCACCGCGCCTTTCCGCCTTTCAGCTGCCTTTCCGCTTTCGGCTTTCGCCCGGGGTGCCTTCCAGCAGCCGCGCCTCGCCTCGGGGCCCTCGGCGCTTCGCGGGCGCTCTCGGGCGGCCCTCGGGCGGCTCTCTGGCCTCGGGCTGTGCTCCGGCGGCTGGCGCCTCGCCGACCGCACTCCAGGGGGGGCGCCAGCGCCTCGCTCCCCGAGGGCCGCCGGCGAGCCCCGCCCTGCCCCGAGGGCCAGGGGCCGCGCGTCAGGGGGGGGAGGAGGAGGAGGAGGAGGAGGAGGAGGAGGAGGAGGAGGAGGAGGAGGAGGAGGAGGAGGAGGAGGAGGAGGAGCCAGGGGGCAGAGAGAGGCTCTTGAGGGCTGCCGCGTCGACGCCCAATCAGGCCCACGGATCGCCGAGAGGGGCCCGGTGGGCCACCTGCAGCGGAGGAAGAGGAGGAGGAGGAGGAGGAGGAGGAGGAGCAGGAGGAGGAGGAGGAGGAAGAGGAGGAGGAGGAGGATCTCCCCCAGGACACCCCTGGGTCCACCCCAGTTGCTCCAAAAGCTGCGCTCGAGCCGTGGACGCGCCCGACGGCTCCCGGGAATACCACCCGGGCCGCAGAGAAACGCCCCGGGAACACCTCCTGCACCGGGGTTCTGCGGTCGGGCGATCCCAGGTCGACGGGTCCCCCCCCCCTCTCCCCTGGAGCCGGTCCCCCCCCTATAACTCGGAGGTGGATCGGCCTCCTACCTTGGGGGCAGCGCGTCAGGGGGGGGGGAGAGAGAGGCTCTTGAGGGCTGCTGCGTCGACGCCCGCTGGCCCGCGGATCGCCGAGAGGGGCCCGGTGGGCCCCTCTCGGCCGAGGAAGGCGGGGTTCTGCGGTCGGGCGATCCCAGGTCGACGGTCACCCCCCTCTCCCCTGGAGCCGGTCCCCCCCCCCAACTCGGAGGTGGATCGGCCTCCTACCCTGGCACGTCGATGCAGGAATTGGCCGTTTCCGGTTCGCGAGAGGGCGTCGCGGCCGTCGTTTTTTGCGGGTCCAGGCCCGTCGGTTTCGGGCCCAGGCCGTTTTCAGCAAGGGGAGGTCTACTGAAGGGAGGTGTGTCCACCGCCGACGAACGCTGCCCCTCATCCCCGGCCGCCGATTCTGGCGGTCGTCGAACCTCGAAGTCCTGCGACGCTTCTGAGCTGCTGGGGCCTCGCGGGAGCTCCTTCCTGGCGAAGCGCAGGCTTCCCGGGGCGTGTCCTGCGGCGGCCGCGGGCCCCCAGATCTCGGGCGACCTGTGTTTTTTGTCAATCTGGGCGCGTGGCCTCGATCTCGGCTTCCAGGGCCAGTTGACAGGCCCCATCATGGGCCAGAAAGGGTGGACCCGGGGCGCCGAGCTGCTTTTCTTCTTCTCGAGGTCCGCGGGCGGGCACCGCCGGGGCACGAGGCCGGTGCAAGGGCCGGCCAAGGCAACGGGCGAGGCGTGCCGGAAACAGAGTGGGCACGACGGGGCGTCCATGCAGCTGGCCCCCCGGGGGAAGGCACCCAGACCTCCTCGCGCCGTGGAAAATCACAGCGCGGGAGGGCTTTCACTATGTTCGGCCTCCGGAGTCCCTCACGGACCGTCAAAAAACGATGCAGGACGAAAAACCGGTCCCAGGGAAGGGGTCCATGGGGGTCCTCAGGACCGTCAAAAAACGATTCGGGACGAAAAACCGGTCCCAGGGAAGGGGTCCAGGCCTCTGTTGGGCCTCAGGACCGTCAAAAAACGATTCGGGACGAAAAAGCGGTCCCAGGGAAGGGGTCCAGACCTCTGGGGATCGACGTCGTGAAAAAATATCACGACGTCGGGGGTTGGGCACGCCCCCGGGCGTCAAGCTGAAGCCCCCGGGGGAAGGCGTCGGGCTCTCTGGGGCCACGGATGGCCTGGGAGCGACGGCCCACCAACACACCCCAACCCAACCCGAAGGCCCCGATTTGCCCTCCATTTCCGGTGAGGGGGGGTCGGGGAACGTTGAAAAAACACATATGGAACCCGTACCCCCCCCAACCCGAAATTCGGGTCTTCGGGTTGGGTTGGGGTGGTCTGGTAGGTAGTCAGGGAGCGACGGCCCTCCAGCCTTGGACGTCAGGGGCCCTGGACGGGGGGGACCGGCTCCCGGGGCTGGTACCCTGAGAGCTTGGCCTTGCAGTTGTTTCACCCCAGGCGTTTTCGCCCAGTTGGCACAGTGGAGCCCAGCGCAGGCCCAAATGGGACCTCGCCATCCCTGGGGCGGCTGCGAAGTGTGAAACGTCGCCAATTTCGAAGGCTGCTGGGGGGGCTGCTCTTGCATCTCCACCTGTGGAACCTTATTTTGCCTATGCTCCATCATCTCGCTGCTTCTGCCGAGGTGATTGTTCTTCCACCCCGATGTCTGCCTTTTGCTTCTCCTTCCCAGTACAATGCCTTCTGGCCTTTTGTATCTCTGTTCTGAAAGTCGGCCACGCACCATTCGCGCGATATGGACATCCGCCGTGCACCGTCTCTTGCACTGCTGCTGTCGCACTATTGTCGGCACACCTTATCTCATCCCTTGGTGCCGATGGGTCGGGTACGGCGCAGGGTACTTGACGGCCCCCGGGCCTGGCGAGGGCCGCTCGAGGCTGAAAATACCCCCAAGCCCGTCGTTCATATTTTTCGCAACACGAGGCGGAGGAGGCGAAGGACGAGGAGGAGGAGGAAGAGGAGGAGGAGGATGTAGAAAACGAGGAGGACGAGGAGGAGGAGAAGGAGGAGGAGCAGGAGGAGGGGAGCAGGAGCAGGAGCAGCAGGATCAGGAGCAGGACCAGGAGATGAGGAGGAGCAGGAGTAGGTTGAGAAGGAGCAGGAGATTATGATGATGATGATGATGCTGGTGATGATGGTGGTGGTGATGATGAGTGAG